ATAAAAACCAAGAATCCATAGAAATACAAATCATAGCAAATGATACTAATGCTCAGTTTAGGATTTAGCATACATTTCACTTTGAATGACTAGCTGCTCTTCTTGAATGAGGCACCTGCCTACATAATACACTGCGTATAAAGACTATAAGAGACTCCAGACTGTCAGCTTTGTGAAATTCACTCTTTGGACCATTTCTTGCTCACTCACATTTTTTGGCCCTTTTGTTCTAAATGAACTAAGTTTGTAATGAGGTCGAAGGAAGGAGAACAAGATCATCTTTTTACAGAACAGATTGATTAGACTGATTAGTTAAAAGATAGACTAATTTAAAAGTCATTACCTTTGTGGCTCTATTTACATAAACTAGCCTCTTTTTCTATGTCTATTTGAAACAACATCCCTCGTTATCTGTTCAGACATGAACTTAACTCTCACTGTGCCTTTCCAGATCCTATCAGACATATATCTACAACCTATTGAGAATCAGTAGTATAACCAAATGGTTGTTAGGATAGCCAGGCTCCATAATTGTTACTATAGGAGACTGTTACTAAAACATCAAAAAGAATTCCTGTAAAAATGACTTATTAAGCCCAGGAATAAATAAATAAATTTATTGAACATTTACATAAAGCAAGGCAGAGTCAGTTTCAAATATACTAAGCACTATACCTAAGTTAATTATTATAATTAAGCTAATTCCATTATTAACATTTCCTAACTAGGGACTTGATATTAAGGTTTGCTTTTTCAGTCTGATATGTTAAGTATGTTAATTAATAAACACTAATAAGCCTCACTGAGCATGTTTTCACTTGACTCGGTTTAGAGAGTTCTTCTGCGTGGGTTTGCTGCTCTTTCTCTTTCTGTCCTGTGATCGTCCTCCTCTCCTTGGTCCTAGTGTCCTGGTTTATGGAGCTTCCTCCTCCGTCTGGAATCAGCTTCCACATTCTAGCTGCACTACACTACTTCATTCTGTCTGTGACTTAAGTAGGACTGTATGGTTTGAAGTTTATTTATCTCTCAGGAAATACTGACTTTAAGATGAAAAAAGAAATTTAGCTCTTTTGACTTTTCCCAGGAATCAAAACATATTTGTTCTTTTTGGTGCTTTTTAAAAAAACAAAATTAAATTTAAAATTCAGTTTCACTTGCATTGGTCACATTTCAAGAGCTCCATGTTCTTTTTATAATCATTATAAATTACTTTTATAATCAAAATAGCAATGACATTACTTATACCATAGAAGAAGCTTCTTTGCTCTCAAAATAAATTTACACTGAAGAAAATCCATATCATGATTTACTTTATGTAAAAAATACGATAAATAGGTAATCCTCTATCCTGATACTATCTAACTTGTTTTTAATGAAACCTTCTGGGAAATTCCTCATTCTAACTATCTAAAATACTGAACTATTCAGTTATTCACTACGTCCTTTACTTCAGAATCTCACTGAGAACATCTATTCAACCAGAAGTGGGAAAGAAAATTACTTATTTAGCAATTAATGTTTGGCTGCCTTCGTTTTATATTTATGTGTACTGGGGAATGGTCTAAGGGTAGTGAAAAATGCAAGAGTCATGTTTTGGATATTTTAGGAGGTTTATCAAACATCACATACAAATATCAGAAGCCAACATTGGAAGCCCAATGGCCAGGCTGCAAACTATCTATTTATCATCTCTCACTATTTTGGTCTGTACAGATCTGGGTGGGAGGGTGATGTTTTAAAAATTAATTTTCTTCATTAAAATCGAGAAGATTTATAACGATATGGATTTTTTCTCTTTTTTTTTCCCATTTATTTTTATTAGTTGGAGGCTAATTACTTTACATCATTACAGTAGTTTTTGTCATACATTGAAATGAATTAGCCATGGATTTACATGTATTCCGCATCCCAGTCGATTTTGTTTCTCTTAAAAAATCAGATCTGAATCTAGATTTTTTCAGGGCAGCTCAGTGGAGTCAGAAGCACGCTCCTCCTTCAGAAAGGGCATGTGCATTATGTCTTTTGACATATAGTGGCCCCCAACATTCCTTCCTGTCCACCACAGGCTAGTCTGCTGGTATATTGGTATCATCAGCCCTAGTGGCACAGGCATCTGGATTTGAGTCTGCTCCTCATTTGAAAAGTTATCAGCACATATTCTGGTTAGATGTGAAATTGCCCAAGGAAGTAACCGATTTGACACAACAGGGATCAGGCAGTAACAATCCTGTCGTATCTCAGTTTGTATTTATCAGTATTTTCCACTTCTTCCACTACTTTCTATCAGTTTCTTGATGGGGTTTATTAGCATTATTAGAATGGTTCATTGATCAGTTTCTCAGGCAACTCTGTACTTCATTGGAAAACATTAATCAAAAATGCCATGCAGTCTCATCAGGATCACTGACTAGATGTCTGTGGAACTATGTGAATCTTCTGAGACACATACGTGTCTATAAGATGGTGGGACAAATATTTATATATACTTGCTAAGATGCTTTGGAAAAATGGTTCTAAAAAGAGGCAAAGTTATTTTGTGTAATCTATGTCAGTGAAATCTGTTGAGTCCTCCAAAGTAATTACTTTCAAGAACAATATTCATCTGTTTTCCTGTATATTTGCTTTCTTAATTGTTGTTTTAAGCCTCTCTTAACTCTCCTAAAGTTACAGCTCCTTGGCACACAGTTCATTCTTCACTGGTGCAAATATATTAAGCATGGAACCTACTGCAGAAAATACATTTACAAACAAAGAATATTTCTCCAAGGTAAAAAATGTACAAAAATGTTTTTAAGTAGAACTGTGTAGAACATTTGGATATTTCCAGTTCTATGGGTTTTTTGTTTCTTGGTAATTGAAAAGCCCAAGCTGCTTTGTTTTATCAATAATTTTTGAGATAATTTATCAATAAATCATGCTTTTGTAGGCATAATTTGCATTAGCCAGATCAATTTCAGATTAGACTGAGTAAAAATGCCTTACATATGCAACAGTACCAAGGTGCATGCAAGTCCTCACAGTTTGAAATCTCAGTGCTTTTGAGAAGAGGAGTTAACTAATATTTTTGAGAGTATTTTTTAGTAGTGTAATCTTTTTTATACTTCAGAGAAATTTCAAGTGAAGCAGAATAAGCATTCTCATTTCAGATATGAAGACTGATGCATACACGTTTCAGGCTAGTTCGAAATGCTCTGGGGCTACCTCTAAAAGTGAACAAGGGGAAGAGAGATTGGCTGAAAACCACGAGAAGGAACGGTTCTGAATTAAGAGTTTCTGGGAGGAACAATCTTTGTTGACTGACTCCACAATCCTGTTTTACTCTGAGGCTCTAACTCAGTCTGGCGGGCAGCGGTTTAGCAGAGGGCATCGCTGGGAGCAGACCGGTGAGAGGATTCTGGAGGCTTGCAGGAACCCTGGCATGCGCCTTAGGTCATGACTAGAGAGGGAAGGATCTAGAAGTCAGCTAACCCCAGAGATGAAGATTTAGGACTTTTCGTGACCCGTCAAGTCCTCACAGTTTGAAATCTCATGCTTTTGAGAAGAGGAGTTAACTAATATATTTGAGAGTATTTTTTAGTAGTGTAATCTTTTTTATACTTCAGAGAAATTTCAAGTGAAGCAGAATAAGCATTCTCATTTCAGATATGAAGAGACTGATGCATACACGTTTCAGGCTAGTTCGAAATGCTCTGGGGCTACCTCTAAAAGTGAACAAGGGGAAGAGACGTTGGCTGAAAACCGCGAGAAGGAACGGTTCTGAATTAAGAGTTTCTGGGGGGAACAATCTTTGTTGACTGACTCCACAATCCTGTTTTACTCTGAGGTTCTAACTCAGTCTGGCGGGCAGCGGTTTAGCAGAGGGCATCGCTGGGAGCAGACCGGTGAGAGGATTCTGGAGGCTTGCATGAACCCTGGCATGCGCCTTAGGTCATGACTAGAGAGGGAAGGATCTAGAAGTCAGCTAACCCCAGAGATGAAGATTTAGGACTTTTCGTGACCCGTTGTTTTCCTCTTCCTATTCTAGCTTTTGCCCTGAGCAGAAGCGCACACTATCCGGGCTGCCGGCTTTTGAATCTGAATGAGCACGAATCAACTTGTAAACAGTCAACAGACACCTGTTCAGGAAATTGTCGATTCTGGGCAACGAGGATCTAAACTCGCTTTGCCTTCGCGTGGAGCTCAGCGATCTCCCAGAGTTACACCAAAGCCCTGCACTCCAGCCCTGGCAGAGGGTTGGTCCTCCGCGCTTTGTGAGGTGTTTTTCCGCGGTTCTGCACGGGGTCCAGCTCCCCACCTCTGTTTCTCCTGGCAAAAGGGAGAGCGACTCCTGGTTGGAGTTGTGGGATTTTTCCAGCTCCGCCAATTCGCTGGGTTTCTGCCTCCCGGGTCCGCCTCGAGCCAGCTCCAGGCGTCCTCTCGTCCGCGGCTGGGCCTGTCTGCCTTGCCTTCGCCCTGGTCCTGCCTCCCTCCCCGGCGGCTGTGGTGAGCCGGCCGGAGTCCGGGGGTCTGTCCGCGCGGGGCCATCTCTCTAGGAGCTGAGAACAGGGGGAGGGGTCGTTAGAAGAGGGAGGAGGGAGGAGTGGTGCGAACGCTCGGAGGAGCAAACTTGGGGTGGCTCCTGGGGGTCAGTGGTGGTCAGAGGAAAGGAGGTTGCAGGCGGCGGTGGGGACCCCCGAGGGGGTTCCGGGCAGGGGCCCTCTGCGCGCGTTTCCAGCCCTCCGGGAGGAGACACTGGGACTCTGTCCCCTGCCCCATCGCAGAGATCCCCGTCCAGCATTCTCCACTGCGGAACCCTTGCCCCTCCTCTGCCCATGCTTTTTCTTCGAGGGAGGGGTTCTGCTCCCACCTCCGGAGCCTCGCCTCCCCACCCGCGCTTCGCGCCGCGCTGTGCGGGGCGGCGCGTGGCCCACGCGCTGGGCCGCGGAGGTGGGCGGCGGATCTCAGCTGCGCCAGCCTCCCTGCGGCTGCGACCGCCCGGCGCGCGCCGAGCTCTCCTGCTCTCCCCGGCGCGCGGCTGCCCTGCGCCGTCGGAGCGGACGGAACTGGGAACTGGGCCTGCGTTTGGGAATCCTCCAGTGCCCTCTCCGGGTCTGCGGGCAATCATCAGACTGACCGGCGGCAAGACGTCTGGCTTCCACCCCTCAACAGAAACGGTCAGTACGTGTTAAATCTTAACTGACTCATCTGGGAATGAGAGCATCCCGAAAAAAAAAAAGCTTTCAGGTCGTTTGATGGCGGTGAGGAAGGTCTTCGTGAGTGTAGGGGCTTTTTTTCCACATTTAGGCCGAAGGTGGGCATTATGGGTGACACCAGGAATATTCATTACCCACTGAAGAGTCTTGACTCTTTTTAAGAAAGGTAATTATCTTTGCAGAAGAGCAGATTGCTACTGTTCCTGCCGCTTTAAAAATCAAACATCTGTTTAGGTGGGAAAGTCATATTGCATTCTCCTAAACTGTTCAAGAATGGACACATTTATGCAAGCATTCACTGGTTCCCCACCGGAAGGGCTCACCCCCTTTACCCACTGAAGAGTCTTGACTCTTTTTAAGAAAGGTAATTATCTTTGCAGAAGAGCAGATTGCTACTGTTCCTGCCGCTTTAAAAATCAAACATCTGTTTAGGTGGGAAAGTCATATTGCATTCTCCTAAACTGTTCAAGAATGGACACATTTATGCAAGCATTCACTGGTTCCCCACCGGAAGGGCTCACCCCCCTGGTAGGATCATACGATGACCAAAAAAAGAGGCGAAAGGAAAAGCTTTAAGGCTTTTGGTAATAGAGACACATCATATAAACTAAATGACATGAAATGCACAGGGCTGGTTCAAAGGTCAGAGGCTCACATACATAGAAGAGATTCATTCTCAGTCATCTTGGTTCAACTTTTCATGAACTTGGTTCATTGATTTTCAACTTTCTGCTTATCAGGCAAACAGACATGTCTTACATAGGGCTTTCTTGGATATCCACAGCCCCTCTTTCCAGGAATAACAAGTATAGGGCATGTGTATGCGTGATTTTTCCCTGAGGAAAAAACTCCTGGATGGTTTTGTGACTGATAAGATGATAATGTTTTTATTAAAGCCAACCTGTGACAATAAGAATACTGTTTAAAAAAACCCACAAATTTAAATATGGAGTCAAAGCATAAACTAGTTTCCCACTTCATAATTTGAAGGTTTTTGAATCTCTGAGGGGGAAAAAGTCCTAAAGCCATTTTCCTGCTCCACCAAGAAATTGTTTTATAGCAGAATCTCAAAATTCATTCATTCAGGATAACTGTACCACTCACAGCTATCCTCAGATGTCTTGAACAATGTAAATACCTCATTTTGACCTTACTTCAAGAAAAAATTTTTCCCCATTTCTACTCATCTTTTAATTTTTGTGCCTTTGTGAGTTTTTACTCTGGCAATTCCCGGTATGTACTCTCTTATCCTCTTCTACTTTTCCTGAAGTGCAATCATAAAATGATGCATTCTCTGAGTAACACTCAGACCTGGCTGAACACTAGTCGTGTGCTTGAGAACAGCTATTAGAATCCATATGCTAATACCTTGGAGATTAATAATAATTTCTGTAGAGAAGCTTTAAAGAAAGGAATAAATAAAATGAGATTGAAAAGAAAAAGCAAAATAAATTAATAAATCAAGTATGCTTCTAATAACCTTCTATCTCAGGCTTGCTCTCAGTTTGCTGCAAACCTCAGACCTTCTGGAGTCTCATTTGTTCTGTTAATGACTTGTCAGTATTGACTAATTTTGCCCTGTAAAGTCTCTTTCTTACTCTAAGGAAAATGGAAGGGCCCATCAAATAAAATACTCCAAGATTTGGATAGTTTCCACTTTCTCTAATCACAGAAGAATGGAGGCAAGTGCAAAGGAAGGTGTGCTTTTTGGAACATTCTGTTTGAAATGCATGCAGAGAGAACTAGAATATATCAGTAAAGCAAATGCATGAGTATATGAAAATCTCTGTGATAAGCAACTATTAGGGTGTGTGTGTGTGTGTGTGTGAAGCCCTTGGAGAGAGAACGTTTCCTTATGGTGTATACTGAGTACCAATTTTTAATATTCTAATCAGTAATTGTGTCTTGGAACAACTTTCTTGTAGAGGTGGTTACTTGGTGGTTACATATAAGAAAATTAGCAGAGAGATGTCATGTCAGAGCAAAGATCCTGTGTAGGGAATTATCTTCAGTAAAGGAAAGGATCAAAATTGTTACTTGGTATTTTGCTGACCTCATTTATTCAGTAAAATTATGCTTTCCTTCAACTTCATGTTTACTAAGGTTTAAACAGTGGATGTAAACAGTCCAGAAACGGAAATGTGTCCTGAAAGAGATTGCTGTGGTGTGGAGGCTGGAGGATGTGTCATATGCTCCTTGCAGCCTTGGAAGTAAGCATAGGTTGTTGGGATAACAGCAGGGAGGGCAGAAAGGCATAGAAGGTCCAGCCTGTTGCTGGAATTAAGAATAGTTCAGTATGACAGAAGGATCAGATATATCCTAAAATGTCAGGAGAGATGAAGACAGGGTTGAGTTCAAGGAAAGCTTTGGATGTCATACAGTGGAGTTGTGATTTTCTTCTATATGTCAATGTCATCAACCTGTGCATGTAGCACCTGTCGTGGTGGAGAAAATTAATGAAAGCATACATGCATGGACAGCTCAACATATCATGCAAAACAGCCTATTCAAGAATGCAAAATAGAAGTAATTTAATGCCAAAAATTAGTTATACAAGTGATAGAAGCCAGACACAGGATGTTGAGGCTACACAGGGATAAGCAAGAGCGAAGAATCATCACTACCTCCAGCTAGAGGGACACGGGGAGAAAGTGGTGTGACTGAAGCCAGGGACCATGTGCCTCCAGCTGGAGACAAGTCACTGCAGGCCGTTCCTGTGGGATCCAGGTACTTTAGGGATCGAAGGACAGGTACTTTGAACCCCAGCTAAAATGAAACCAATCCATTTCTGATATTCCTTGCACCCTTATGCTTTCCTTGTTTCATACTTGTTCATTTTTTAAATTGTAGATTCTTGTGCTAGCTGATGAAAATGGGCCCATTAGGTGCAGAGGCTGATGAGAACCAGACAGTGGAAGAAATGAAAGTGGATCAGTTCGGTCCAGGACACACCATTCCAACAGGGGAGCTGGCCCCTGACTCTGAACCAGAGCTTATAGACAGCACCAAGCTGATTGAGGTGCAAGTTGTCCTTATATTGGCCTACTGCTCCATCATCTTACTTGGGGTGATTGGCAATTCCTTGGTGATCCATGTGGTGATCAAATTCAAGAGCATGCGTACAGTAACCAACTTCTTTATTGCTAATCTGGCTGTGGCGGATCTTCTGGTGAATACCCTGTGCTTGCCATTTACACTTACCTACACCTTGATGGGGGAGTGGAAAATGGGTCCTGTCCTCTGCCACTTGGTGCCATATGCCCAGGGCCTGGCCGTCCAAGTGTCCACCATCACCTTGACGGTGATTGCCCTGGACCGGCATCGTTGCATCGTCTACCACCTCGAGAGCAAGATTTCCAAGCAAATCAGCTTCTTGATTATTGGCTTGGCTTGGGGTGTCAGCGCCCTGCTAGCAAGCCCCCTGGCCATCTTCCGGGAGTACTCGCTGATTGAGATCATTCCTGACTTTGAGATTGTGGCCTGTACTGAGAAGTGGCCTGAAGAGGAGAAGGGCATCTATGGCACTGTTTACAGTCTGTCCTCCTTACTAATCCTGTATGTTTTGCCTCTGGGCATCATCTCTTTTTCCTACACTCGTATTTGGAGTAAACTTAAGAACCATGTCAGTCCTGGGGCTGCTCATGACCAGTACCATCAGCGGAGGCAAAAAACCACCAAAATGCTGGTGTGTGTGGTGGTGGTGTTTGCGGTCAGCTGGTTGCCCCTCCATGCCTTCCAACTTGCTGTTGACATTGACAGCCACGTCTTGGACCTGAAGGAATATAAACTCATCTTCACTGTGTTCCACATCATTGCCATGTGCTCCACCTTTGCCAATCCCCTCCTCTACGGTTGGATGAACAGCAACTATAGAAAGGCTTTCCTCTCCGCATTCCGCTNCAAGTGCTCAGGGATGGGGCACTGGGAAGACCCAGAGGAATGGGATGGGGAGGGAGGCGGGAGAGGGGATCGGGATGGGGAACACATGTAGATCCATGGCTGATTCATGTCAATGTATGGCAAAAAGCTGACTTTCAAATCACACTAGAGGATAGGTTGGGGATGATGTATAATTCACTGCCCCCCCTCTCATCTGATGAAAAGTCTATCAACACCAATTTCCCTAGAAAGGCATAGACTCTTTTCTGTTGTATTCTGGCTTTTTGTTTTCTTCCTGTGGAATAAAACCATCAGAGAACATTGCAGGTAAATGTTACAAACTGTTAGGATGGCTTCAAGGAAGTAAACTGAAATTTTCTGTGTGATTAGCGTTTTGACAAATTATGTGGGAAATTTTTACCATTCAGTTAACCAGTTGTTTTTTTAAAACCAAATGCATATTTAATGAAAGTTTCTACAACTTACAATTGAAGACTGAATGAAATCCTCAGAGAAATGTAAACCTTCATTCAACTTCTCATTACAAGTTGTCTCTGCTTTATATAGTTACTATCTGGATAACAAATAAGGATGCAATGCAATATGTTTAATCATTGCTAATTGTTATAACTTTTTGAACACATTATTTCTATATTGGAGCTGAACTTGTCTTCACTGAGAATTAAATCAGATTAGGAAGTAGTTTTGTGGCATTTTGTAACATTTTGTGCTTATTGGTAAGCAGTTTTTGCACTAGTACATAGGTGTATTGTGTTCACTGCAGTAGTATTATTTTTTAAAAAATTCATCTTCCATGGACCCATTCATGATTCATAAAACAATATAATTTCATCAAAATGGAACCTTTCTGGTAAGAACTACTAAAAACATTACTTGCATTCCACTTTGGAAATGTTCTATTGGGACCAATTTCAACATAAATTATCCTTCTTTGGAAATAATTAGCTATATTTTTGGATAACTTAGGAATATATACATAATAAAATTTTACCTATAAACAGTGGATCATAGATGCTATAGTTCTTTTCTTTTAATGATTTTGTGAATGCAATTTTCATTTCAATATTATCCAACCAAAGATGCTAAAACTCTATTACATTTATAAAAAATAATTAAGATGTGAAAATAACTAAATTTTGGATGCTATTAATGATGTTTCATCATAAATATATGTTTATAAGTATGACTGAATTTATTTCCTTAAATTTTAAGTAAATTCAGCATGACTGTTGCATTTAGTTCTAAACATTAACTTCGTGAACAGGAGTGATATATTTTATGGATATAGTTAAAATTCATACTATGTCTCTTAATTATTTTCATGCTAAAAATAAATGACTGGTCTTGAAATGAACTGTGCTTTTGAAATACTGAGAAAGAATGAAAACAGTGGAAGTTAAAAAGTGTAAGACTGAATAAGAAGTTGACAAATAATTATATCTATAATATATAATTGAAGAATTCATTTTTTTCTTAGGCCTGGCATAACTGTCCAAGAAGAAGCTTTTTGTCTTTTAAAAGGAAGTTCCTTTGCATAAAATGCTAATAGATAATTGTGGTCAGAGACTTTTTGTTTCCTCCTGGAGAATTCTTTCACTCTAGAAAATGTGCATGGTACTGTATCACCTGTTGTCATAGTAAATTATTAAAATCCAATTAATATATGTGATCTAGCTATTTAACTCATTAGTGAAATGTCCTTTATGTAGTGACTTTATGGGTTGAAATAAAGAATTTGGGAAATTAGAGAAATGTGTGTTACTTTATGTCAGAGTTCCTGTCCAACACGAGACAGTCAGCCTTTGACACCGCTAAGGAGAGAGGGGTCACAGCCGCCCCTGCAGAGTTATTTGGGCGTTCTCTGCAGTCTGTATATGAGCCTGAGTCAACAGACTCGCTCCTAAGGCTGACTTGGAGGATGCACTGAAGATGCATCTGTTCTCACACCAGAGCTTTCTTCTGCTTGTTAAATCTGCATCTCTGTCGGCCCACTTGACATGCCCACATAGTGTCTCACCAGTAGAGCAAATCCCGCATGTCTAAGTCAGAACCTGATATTTTTGATTTCCACCTCACCCCACTTCCACTTTATTTTTCTATATTACCTGTCACAGTCATGATACTGCTATCTACCTAGTTCCCCAAAATGTAAGCGCTTTGGAGCCACTCTTGTCTCTTCTGTCTCTTTATCACACATGTCCAATAAGTTCTCACCTTTTGTGTTAATTCCTAGACATTTCCTGAATCAATTCACTTTTCTCCATCTCTCTGCTCCCCACCATAGTTCAAGCTGTGATTATCTCCCCAGACCCCTATATCTCTCATTTGGTTTAATGGAGCAACTTCTTAATTTTTCTTTATATATCTTGTTGTTTTCCCATCCAATCCAACTTTTACCCATAAAACAAGTGATTTTTCAAAAACTCAGATTTTGTCAAATCACTTTTTTCCTCACCATTCTTATGCCAAAATCTTTCTATGACTTGAAAACCTATATAGGATCTAGTTGTACTTAATATATTCTACCCTTTGCAGATTCTTTTTCTAGTCTTTGCTGCATATGGAGCATATGAAGGCAGGGACCAGCATTGTTTTAATCCTCATTATATCACAGGTGTTTATAGTTCCTGGCACCAAGTTAGTCCTCAGTAAATATCCACCAAGGAAACTGAATCGATAAGTCAAGTAAATATAAAAGCAGATTTGAAGATACATGCATATGGATGTAAACGATAGGCTACATTATAAGAAAATCATCTTTATTATACGACTTATAGAAAAGCAAAGTTTTAGCTATTCCTACATACATACATTCCTACATGTAGGAATAGCTAAAACCAATGAAGATGAATATTTGTTCAAGATTGGTTTTATTTTTTTTGGAAGGTCATTAAGGTTAGACATTTGTACAGGTGAAAAGAGCTCTATAGACTACATTTATGGCTCACTCAGAATTATCTAAAACCTTATACAATGGAAGCATGTAGCAATCAGTGAAGTCTATTAATCATGAGTCAGATAGCTAAGGTACTTCCAGAAAAAAAAGTCATTTAGTACAGGAAACTAAAATCTTGCAAAATGATTGGAGGAATTGGAAAAATGATGGTTAGGAAAATCTTCCTCTGGCCTTGAGGAAACAAGGAGGTGCACAATTGCAGGGAACTGCAGCTAACATCTTCAGCAGCAGTGTGGACAATACACAGGAAAAAGCACAGATTTATCTGTGAAAATGCTATCGCCTCCTCCTAAAGCCACCCTTTTTCTCGTCTCTCCCATAGACTCAATTATGCCATTTGTTTCTCTTCTGCTTTTCGAAATTCATATGAGTTATCTTTTATTTGTGAAATGTAACTCAAGTCTTGCTGGCAGGGATTTGGGGAAATGTAGTTCTTAGGTTTCTAGCTCCTAAGATATAGGGAAAAGTTTTGAATGGAGAATATGCTGCTTAATTGCTGTCCAACAATCTGTCAATCTTAAGAACTGCCCAAATGGTGCAGTTTCTAGTTTCAACTACATTTTCTCCTTCTCTGTACCTCTGAGTTCTTCAAAGCTGCAGTGATGAAAGGTGACTATATCTTTTTTTTTCCCCCTTATCCAGGCCAATGTGTTATAAATACTCTTTAAAACTAGACTATTAGTACAGGTGGACTGAGGAGTAAAGTGTAAGTAAAGACCACTTTTTTCCTCTGGGAAATTGATCGGAAAGGAGGAAGAAAGAATTATACCAAGGATCTGAAAGCAATAGGATGAGCAAAGGAAATGAAGTTTCGTGGAGAAAATACTCTTTAAAATTTTCAAGTTCACGAGATGATATATTGAATTATATCTCAACAAAAGATAGAGTTTACTTTTCCTTAAGAAAGCAAAGACCATAAGGAAACACAAAAATAGTAGAGAATGAGCAAACATCTTCATGATTATGTCTTATGACATTAAGGTAGGAATTTCATTTAAAAAAGGATTACTAAGCATTGATTTGTGCAGATTTATAAAGGACACATCATGTCTGTTAGATGATTGACCTTTTTCTGCCTTAGTACACTGGTCAGATGTCCATAGACTTTACAAGTTTTCCTGGGTATGGAAGACTGTGTGATAAAACAGTTCACATGTTATCTATAATTCCAACTCTTTCTTGTTAATCTGCGAGTGTATAAGTGAATAGAAATAAACAGAAATGACTAATACCGAATCTAATCTTTATACCAAGTTTCAATACTTTAACAAATTGCTTGCAAAACATATCTGAAAATGCTACAGGCATGAGTTGTCACATTAAAATTTAAAAGTGCTGCATTTTCTTCCAAATAAAAAGCAAGTGTACATTTTATATATTTGTTTTTGCCCTTGTCATAGGAAAGTAACATACATTGTTAAAATACAGGTATATGTATATGCACAAATACAAACATATTTAATTACAAGCAAAATCACCTTGATGTACAATATCATTCAATATTGTACATTGCCTGTGAATAAACCATCCAACCGTCTAACAGTGGTGATTAACCTTTTTCCATATGACATACTATTCCCAGTAGGGCCCTGTAGATACATTTACCAGTGGGCTGTAGGTGGGACAGAGTGAGGAGAGTGGGGAAATACATTCTGGAATGTGAACAAAACTATTTGAATATAAGATGTTTTGCTTATATTTGCATAAAAGTTTCTTAGAGAGTGTTATCAACCAGTTGATAATTAAAGATGACACATATGAAACTGGTGCCTATCATTTTGAAAATATCATCTATTAAGAGGTCAGGAAGCAACAGTTAGAACTGGACATGGAACAACAGACTGGTTCCAAATAGGAAAAGAAGTACGTCAAGGCTGTATATTGTCACCCTGCTTATTTAACTTATATGCAGAGTACATCATGACAAACGCTGGGCTGGAAGAAGCACAGGCTGGCATCAAGATTGCCAGGAGAAATATAAATAACCTCAGATATGCAGATGACACCACCCTTATGGCAGAAAGTGAAGAGGAACTAAAAAGCCTCT